AATGCCGAGTACCAGGCCAATGAGGACGAAACGGCCTGCCAGGGCCACAAATGGTATCAGGGCAGAGTGACCCAGTCAAGTGAGGCCTAGAGGAGAACAGCAGGTGCAGGGGTCGGGGCAGTTCAGGGAGAGGGCGAGTGGAGGATTAAGACCCAAAGATCACACCAGTCCTTGTCAGTTCAGAATCGGTCAGTTTGCCCTCAGCGTTTGACTTTTTCATAATTAAAAATATTGAAGGAAGAGATAGGAAGAAAATACCATCAGGCCTCTTGTCCTCCCCCACCCCTCTTTTTTTTTTTTTTTTCTTTTCTTCATTGCCCATTCCTGGAATAGAACCCCAGATACCCTCTCCTCCCCCCCCTTGCAGGGCGCTGAAGGCTTTGTGGAACTACCTGAGTCAGAAGGGAATCAATAGCGATGCCATCTGGGAGAAGATAAAGGATGTCGTCGTCAAAACCATCATCTCGTGAGTCACGCTGCCACCCTGGGTGTGGACCTGCCACAGAACCCCTTGTCTCATTGGCCCCCACACTGCTCTGTTCCTGACCTTGACCGTGCTGTGTAGTTCCGTTTCCGAGGACAGAGCATAGAAAGGAGTAGAGCTAAATTCTGCACATCTTCTGAGCTTCTTCCCAGAAGCTGGCCCCAGATCTGAGGCATCTTTTGTTTCGTTTTTTTTTTTTTTTTTGCCAGCGGGGGCATGTTCTTACCAGAGAGAGAAACCAAGGTCGGTGGGGTAGAGAAAGCGCCTCCCCGTGGGGTGGGGTCACACCACAATCCCTTCTCTGCTCCAACGTCCTGTTGGGATTGGGAGCTCATGTGTACATGCACTCGGTGTTTTTCAAGCTAGCAGGGCTGGAATTCAAACTGTGGTCAGCCATGTGGGCCTAGCTCCCTTAACCTCTAGGCTATCGGGCCAGCCCCAGAGGCATCTCTTGAGAGTTGCTTTTCCTGAGTTGCCCCTGTTCACCAGTCTCTGGCTACTCTATGGCAGGGCAGCTCTGGGTAGGCCCTTTTGGAGGAGCTGAACCGAACACTTCCTCCCCTCCGTAACCAGGTCAGAGCCCTACGTGACCACCCTGCTCAAGACGTATGTGCGGCGGCCCTATAGCTGCCACGAGCTCTTCGGTTTCGACATTATGCTGGACGAGAACCTCAAACCCTGGGTCCTGGAAGTCAACATCTCCCCAAGGTAGATGGTATTCCCAGGATTCTCGCAGTCCAGTCCTGCCTGCATCCTCGTGGGCCTTTACCACTCTAGCCTTGCTGATGCTGGGAAGACCTTTGCTTCATAGAATTTGTGTTTTCCCTTCGTGTTCGGCCGGTTTACTCTTTTACTCTTTGCCGTTATCTCAAGGCTCTTTGGGGATGGAGAGAAGTTGTTAAAAGTGGTTCTTCTCAAGTTGATCCTACTGCTTGCTTGCCCCTAGCAACCCAAGGTTATGAGCAGCTAGACCCCAAGTGAGATTATTCACCACCGGGGGGGCAAAAGACCCTCAAGACAGTGCTCATGCACGTGGATGTTTGAGCCCCTTTCGCCTCTGAGAAGCAGGGAGCCAACGGGCGAGCCCTGACTTGAACCTATGACCAGAAAGCTTTTTAGGGTGCTGCTTTGACCCCTCTTTTACATCCTTTCCCTGAAGCCTCCACTCCAACTCTCCACTGGACATCAGCATCAAAGGCCAGATGATACGTGACCTCCTGAACCTGGCGGGTTTTGTTCTGCCCAGCGCAGAGGATATTGTTTCGAGCTCCAGTGGCTCCAGCAGCTCCAACAGCTCTGCCACCAGGTCAGCTCCTGGCGTCCCTGAGGCTGGGCTGAGCACGAAGAGCTCTGCCATGATTCTGGAGGGAATGGGCTCTGGGCTCTCGTTCTCACTTGGGCTTCCTTGCTGCTCAGTCTTCCCACAGTCCCCCACCACCCCGTCAGTGACCCTACAAGCATGCTTGGTTATATTGCTCGCCTGCAGTAATCTCCTTGGGGGATGGGCAGGCAGCATGGTGGTTAAGGGGCTGGAATCCCCCATGGCCAGCCCGGAGAGTCAGATTTAAGCTCCTTCTCCCAGGAGCATCTCTTTTTAGTCGCTGTGCTGGCCCTGACAAATCAGATCTTGCACAGGACCTCAACGTTGGAAGGAGCCTTAGGATTAGTTAGTCCAGTCTTCTCTCTAAAACGTTCTTTGCCTCCAGTTCTTCTCCCATAATGCCTTCCCCTGTCATGGGATTTCTACCTCCTGAAATGCCCCTTAGCCAGACCTACCACTTGTAACCTTCCCGTCCATCAAGGCCCAGCTCAAGACAGCATCTTCATGAAGCCAGCTCAGTGTGGGCTCCAGAGCACTGGGGACGGCTCTCGAGGGGATGCAGCCAGTAGTCAGTTCCTGTGATGTATAAGGAAGAATCTAGAATCTATCCTCCCAACAGCCCTGTAAGGTTGGCATTGGTGTCCACAGTCCACAAGTGAAGAACCTGAAGATCAGTGGGATTAAGGCCAAGGTCATTCAGCTAGGGAGTGGTAGGGCTGGAATTCAGATCCCGATTAGCTTGGTAACAGGACTTGCGTTACCTGCTGTACTTTGTAGAATCAGGTTTGGCTCTGTCCTGTCCTGGGCTTATCATCTGACTCATTGTGCCTGCTGCCCTGTCAGCTCCTTGGAGACAGGGACTGCTTTTCAGTCATCCCCATGTCTTTATCAGCGCCGACTATGGTACTTGTGGTATGTGGATGACGAGGTGCAGGGAGGATGCTGCTTGTCCGGGTTCTCATAGACGATAGGGTAGAGCTACATATGTAGCAAGTACTTGCTAAATAAAACTAAACTGAAGTGTACAGTGCTTCAGTCTTTCCAGGGTCTTTTTTATTTATTTATTTTAGGTTTTTGTCATAGGGCGTATACACTCACTGGAGAGACACAGAGAGACAGTGAGAGGGAAAATGAGAAGTCACCCCTCAGTGGGAGTTAACCACACTGCAGTGCTTTCTCTGTTCTGAGATTTGGGGCACACACACGTAAGCTCCTGGCATGATTCGTCACTAGGTCTGGGACTTGAACTAGACATTGTGGTCAGCCATGTGGGAGTGCAGCATCTTAACCACCACCTGCTGGCTCCTCAGGGCCTTTTCTTTTTCTTTTCTTTATTTTTTTTTTAAGAAGTATGTATTTTGAGGCCAGCAGGTGACATAGTGGTTAAGGCACGGGACTCCCACATGGCCGACCATAGTTTGATTCCCAGGCTCAGTGACCTGAAACTTCTGCCAGACATGGGTGTACATGTGTGCCCCAAATCCTAGAGGAATATGGAGGAGAAGAGACTGCGACATGGCCATCCTTGGAGCTGGGGATGTTCCCTTTCTATCTGGTGAGCACACATGCCCTATAAAAAGCAATCTTTCAAAAAATTTTATTCTATTTTATTTATTATTATTATTTTTAAAATATGCTATGGGCACGTGTACTCACCAGAGAGAGAGGAAAAGTGAGAAAGCAAGCCCCAGGTCCGAGACTTAAATAGCAGTTAGCCATGTGGGAGTCCAGGGCCACCTATTGACCCTGAGGATTTTTTTTTTCCACCAACCATTCACATTCAGCCTAAAGAGGGTGCCTTGTACTCAGTCAGTTCCTCCATGACCCTTGCCATTCGAAGACTCAGGCTACGGAAGTGGAGTGCGTTTCAGTCTCAGCTTCTCGGCGACCACCCCTCTGTCTCCGTATGTCTCTCTCTGCCCGAGAAGAGGCCTTCCTGGCCAGGCCCTTTTTGTGCACATCCTCAGGCTGTGCGGCTGCTGGCCCTACCCGTTGCTTTCTTTCCACCCTCCCGCAGCCTGCCCAGCTCTCCCAAGGACAAAGGTCGAATGGCTCCGGAACATTTTACTGCACAGAAGATGAAGAAAGCCTATTATCTGACCCAGAAAATTCCCGATCAGGTAGGAGACAGGTCTTCACCCCTCGCCACCCCCATGCCAGCAGAAAGCTCTCCTGATCGAACATTTGGGAACCCCAGGGCAACCAAGTTTTCCTCTCTCTTTTTTTTTTTTTTTTTTTTTTGGGGGGTTTTTACCTTTGGGGGGCGGGCGCCCCCCCC